TGATTCGGTGGTGGCGATTTTTCAGCGTTCAATACACGTTGCCATTCTAGAGTTGTTTCCCTTCAATAGTCTCTTTTTCTAAAACCGCACTCCGGTTATCCAAGTGAAATATTTTTCATTTTAGCCATACATAATATTCAGATTGTTGAGGCAAAAACAATGCCCAATGGGTTCTACGTTCAATATAAATTTTGCGATTTCTTGAAATAAAAGAAAAATAGCGAATGAAAAGTAACATTTGTTTTTCAATTTTTTATAATCGTTTAAAACCACAATTCTTATTTATACAAATGAAGTTGTTTCAATTTTAGGGAATTGTGCCGTGGCGGACGAATGCAGTCAGTGTTGTCTTTCGCCTAATTTTGGATTGGATACCAAGCCTCCTCATCAAACAGACTTATAGTTTTGCTCGAGCGGGTTTCAAGCTGTACCAGCGAGCGCGGTCGAATGATTTGTTGAAGAAACGGAGACAGCGGTAAAAAAAAACAGTCCCCGTTCCCCGCCCCCAGCTTATCACCATAAAACCGATTTCTACGGGTATGCAAAGGTCCGACTAACGATAAAAGAATAGCATCCCCTCTGCTTCGGGTAGGTCATTCCAGAAAAGAATATCCCCTTCGAGGCCCCGGAGAAAGAACATCAATCCCACCAAACAGTCACACCAACAGTAATAACAGAAAACGAACCAGTAAACCCATTATCAACAGTCATCAACCAGTCAGCAGAAAGTCATAAGAAGTCACCCCAGTTAAACCAATAACCAGTACAAGAGTCACCCCCAGTAACAACACCTATCAAAAAGAGAATGAGAAAAGGAATATCAAGACCACCATTAGAATACGAATGAGAGAGAGAGTCTTTGCGATATCATATGGATTAAAGAAGCTCTAATCCTTGTGGTGTTTAACTCGGAGTGTGGGAATTACCACCCACCTCCCCATTCGGCCTAAAAATAGACTATTCTATGGGGCTCTTGGTATTTTCATATTGATAAACGAATTTAACCAAAGCAACCCAGACGTGTATTACCCAGAATTTATCGTATTTAAGCCCCCGTTTAATACGCATGTGATACGATATGCCTGTTATGTAAATATAACAATAGTAGTATAATATATTATAACAATAGCTGAATAAAACAGCTGGTTAGAGTTAATAACTAAATCAATATTTATACACATGAATAGTCTACATAATAGATTGGTCACCACTGCTCCAATTCTTTCTACAACCCAAACACAGTAGGCCTACTGTCTCTCATTCACCATGACAATTCATGTACATGACAAATTTTGTTGCATTTGTATGTAGTCGATATGTTGCCCTATTAAAATGGATGATAAATTGATGAATTACTGAGCCATTCCACGTTATCGGTTGAAATGAAATTATTTATTAATTAAACAAATACAGTGCAATACGTACTATTTGAATCTAAAGCCTGATGTTATTATGCACTTAAGAACCCCCAAGACTTGTTTGTGGGTTTTTTTTTATGTATTTGGTCTAACAATATTTTCAAGGACATGAAATGAAATGAAATGAAATGTGGTTTAACATCCTACTGTTTTGCACCGACTGGGCGCCGAATATCCGTATTCTAGCCATGGAATTGCATTGGTGAACAAACGTTGAAGCCACACAATGGCTCAGTGGGTATAGCGCTGGATAGCTAACCAAAATGTCATGGGTTCCGCGGTATTTCCGGTGGCGCAAGACGTCTATCAACTGGTTTAATTACCAAATATTAAACACACCGAATTTTGTGTTTATCTTTATTATGTAACTTCGCGTTTTGTGATATCCACATATCGGGGATTTGGCCAAGATATCGAGATGATTGGCTATTCTTGATCGTATTCTAAAAAAGACTTTTGGTATATGAGCCACCAATTTGTTTTTCTGTTGTGTCAGTTCTATATATAAATATTTAGCAGGAAATAAAACCGACTCATTAACCTATGGAATATATACATGTATATAGTTCATGCTACTTAACAGAACTCGAATGGAAATAATTCAATATATTTTGATTGTAGATATAGACATTTTTTTTAGCATACTAATTCAAGACCAAAATATATAGCGCAGACAACTCGTTTATTTTTTTAATTGTCTTTTATTCAGAAAATTGCTCCGCGCCAGCAATACAGGAGATACTTTAAAAGTGTAAACGTCATTTACACAATAGCGACAAAATAAAAACTTGAAATAACAGAACACAAATAGAATTTGATGAACAAAATGAATAGAACACAATACAGATAGAAATTCACCAACAAAATGTATAAAACACAATACAGATAGAAATATATATAAATAAAAAATTGATACAACACAATATAGATAAAAAAAAAAACTGAAATGACACAATACAGAAATTGATAAAACAAATTAATTGAAATAACACAATACAGATAAAACAAAAATTGAAATAACTCAATACAGATATTCATATAAAAATAAATATTGATAAAAAAAAAACCCCCAATACAGATAGAAATTCATAAAAAGAATGAAGAAATTGAAATAACAGAATACTATGGTGGTTGATTGGGGCTGTCGTGATGTTGTGATGTAGACCTTCATAAGGCGACAAACCGGCAGCCCGACATCGCGACATTTTAATCCAACATCGCCACAACCCGACATCACGACCTTATAAAGGTCGACATCACGACATACAGCGTGACGTCGGGTTATCGTGATGTCGGATTGTCGCCTTTCCAGAACAATGGTAAAACGACTACGCTCGACCCAATATTAGGATTATATACACTGATCCTGGTGTTGGTCACGAATGTTCCCCGGGATTTTGCAGCGTGGTTTCTCGATTTCGGTTGTGCAAAGATCAGTGTCTAGTTGTGCAGATGGGACAAAAAAAAACCACGCTCATGTGTACACATTGGCGTGCACATAAAAGAACCCTTAAGAAAAAAAAAATACATATGTATTGAAAAACTAATCGCATGAAGGCTTTTGCGGCTGAAAAGTTTCCCATGCAGTTAATTTAAAATATTTCATAATGTTTGAAATTTGCATGTTTTACGACAAACAAAGCAAAGACTATAGAAACTCTATTTCTATAAAGATAACGAAATCAATAAAACACAAACACAGATAGTGTATGAAAATAATTCAATCATATAATGGCTATATGTAACTGGGGACTGTATTCACAATAAAATAATAACACTGTAGTAATATTATAGTTTATATCAATTACATTATACATAAGCGCGACACATTTACACTATTAAGGCCAATCTCCATGATATCTGCGATTGGTCGTGTGGGCAGAGAGCGACAGTGCGACAGAGCAAGACACAGACTATGTTAAATTTTATATGGAATCATAATAATATTGTACTTTCTTTTTTCAATAATTCGCCTGCGCATATGGGTCTTTAGTAGTATCAGGAAACCCTAACCAAATCATTGTAGCCTGATCCGTAAAGCAGAAATTCATATTATTAGAGACTTTTGGCAAGCGTAAATTCCTGGTCCGTATCGCGTATCCGTAACGATTTTGCGTGTGACGTCATCAATTCGTGTGTATTTCTCATACGTGATACGGCACACGGATACGGCAGCACGTATCGAACAGCTTTAATACGGAAAAGGTCGTCGTCTTTTTTGCTACTTTTAGACGCTGAAATGTTGTGCCGTAGCGTTTTTTATGAATCTATATATGTCTATCCTAGAACGAAGGTGTATATTTGATGTGATTTTAACCATGGCAAAGACTGGAATTTAATTATTACTTTGGATGAGCTTTTCGCAGAATTTTCATATTTTCCTATCTGTCTGCACGCTTGTTGATCTACGTGCTAAATTTAGAGAGTAGGGACCTTGCAAATCTGTCAAAGAGGTATATTTTTAATAAGATTCGACACTATTTTTTTTTTTTTTTTTTTTTTTATAAATAACTCAGCGAAAGTCGAACGACTTTACACCCTTCAGGAATTTGTAGGCTGGGTACTTGACTAGTACTGATATTGATCTTGGTAGATAACTGCCATCATGCTGAAGTAGAACTACGCTCAGCTCAGCTACCCATACGTAGACGGCACAAAAATCTGCCAAAACTCTAAAACTAAATTAACGCAACGTATCACGTGACGATACGGATACGTTATACGGATGGGAAAAATTCCACTTGCCAAAAGTCTCTAATAAGTCTAGACGTGTACGTAAGGAAGACCCTTTTCTTTAGGCCCGGGACAATTCTTGATTAACTCAAGAGATAATTCATTCATTACCGCAGGAGGTTTTTCTGGAGGAAATATTTCGATTTTACGTCGGGCATTATCACCTTTATTAGTAATCTGGGAAATTGGGTAACAGTTTTCCCAAAAGAAAAAAAAACTGCATCGAATAGTTTTGGTGTGTACTGAACTTAATAGTGAATTAAACCTAAGTTTCGCAGCTCGTCTCAATATCGATACAGGGGGGGGGGGTGGATTGTCGAATGGTTAGCACGTGCGCGCTGTATCATAAGATTTGTCATTGAGTTTCGATTCCCCGGTTGTACGTGACAAGGAGTAGGGTCGCCTGTCCAACCTAGTGGGTTTTCTCCGGGCCTTCCGGTTTCCTCCCAAAGTACGCGCAATTACCTAGTGTGTGTCGAGTGGACGTTACCCCCGCCCCCCCCCCTCTCTCTTTCTCTCTCACTCTTCTCTCAATACTGATACAACTACTGAAGTCAAACTACAAACTATCTTAACTATCTATCCGATTATTGTTCAGCATCATTACGATTTTATGATATGCAGTTTGACCAACCGCATTTTGTTATTGCCATCTGTATCAATTAGCAAATGAATCCGGCGAAAGGTCGCAGGGTGTGCCCCGAACTTAATAGTGAATTTAAACCAAATGGGGAATCAATAAAAACAGGATATATTGAAATCAAATATACACCAGCCATTAATAATAAACGATAGACCTGATAGCTTATATTAGAGTATATATATATATATACTCGAATATCGGTTGATATTTATGTACACGTGTATACGTATTTGCACCACCATCGCGCTATTAATAGAATGCAGCGGTTCATCGCGAGGGTTTAATCTTATCATCAACGCCAGCCGATGCTATAGTGTATTATTGTTATGATGTGCGAGCTTTCCTTCCTTCAATGTAAGAAGCACGTGGCTCGTGCCAGCAGTCCAACTGGGCATGTCAGTATATATGTAAAGGGTCAGATGTGATGATATTTCTGACGAGTGTTGTAGATAACCACATCAAGGAATATTAATGGCTTTTGGCTCACATGGAATTTTTGTTTTCTTGTTACGTTACAAGGCTGTGATGTACTACTCGTAACGGAATTCATTTTACCTCATGTTTTTATTTAGCTAAGCTTCCGTCTTCCACTAAACAGCTAGCATTAACTGTCGTCTGCTAGTGATAACAAATCCCGCCTATACGGAGTCGTTCACCAGACACCATCTTCAGCTATATATTTTGGGACTTTGAGTTGTGTAAACTTTGGATATTTTTCGTGAACAAAGTTGGGGTAGTTTCGCTTTTGGACGAGATCCCCAACGATTTTGTCGTCTGCTTGAATGCGTTTGAATTGACTTGAGTTACTTGTTCAACATGGCGACTGATCCTACTTTGGAGCGAAAAATTTTATTAGGAGGTACACTTGCGACTGCGGTGGCGTTTCTTTTCCAACTTATAGCCATTTGTACTTCGCAATGGTTGGTTATTGAGATTCCTAAACCTACCAGTTTTGTAAATAAGTCGGGGAGGTATCTGTTTAAATCATCGAGTGGTCTATGGCGAATGTGTCGAGTATATTTACAAGGCACCGATAATTCAGAAGGTAAGACAATTTTTTTTTTGGAAAATAAGCATCATATGTATTATTGGTGCCACAGGGACTAAAATTATATCTGCTGATCTGCCCATCACTTATGTTACCCTCATTGCACATCATACTGAATAAAGTGTTATGGTGAGGTATCTTCTGAAATCGCTCTAAAATATATATGTTCAGTGTTGTATCGTTGAACAAGCCCAAACGTTTAGTCTATGTCCAGTGAGTAAATATATAATGGCATTTCTTAAAGGGCACACACGAACTGTAGCAATCAAATATACATGTATAAAAGATCACAGTATTTAACAGTATACGCATGAAGCATAAACACACAAACTCCCAAATGACAAACATACCCCACTGAGTAAAGGCATGTACACACCCAACTGAGGCAAGGACACCCACCCCATATATCGGTAGGGTAGTGCACACACACACCAGCGAAAAAGGTGCAATGCGCAAGTAAGAAATAGTACACACGTGAGACATAGTAAGCCAGCAGAGAAAAATGAAATGAAATGGAGCTGAACGCCCTACTTTTCTGCACTGACTGGGCGAATGAAGACGGATACACTATACTGTGTGCAATACAGTGCGCTATGTGAGAAATTTTGCCTGGATAGCTCTTATTTCCAATTTAAGAAGTCAAGGGTTCTTTTACGTGCACGTCAATGTGTAAACATGACATTGGGTTTTTGTACCATCCAAACAACTAGACATTGTCCTTGACAGGTCCCCGTCCTGCACCACTGACAAGGGGGCCACCAGAGAACTCGGCGTTTGCTAAAAGATTTTTCTAGAACACGTGATATTTACTTGAGATGTTGACATAGCTTAAATGAATGGTTTATGTAATTTCTAGATCTGCCAGTACATATCTTGTAATTATTTGCTGGATTCGTTCTACTTATCGCATCGGTGCATACAATTTATTATCTTGTTGTCTGCGTCATACATCTTACAACAGTTTTCTTCAAGGTTTGGAATTTCGTGAGCTCCGGGACAGCGTTCCTGATATGGCACACCACCCATTCATCCCGATCCACATTTCCTATTGTTATTTCCTATATTAGATACATTAGGGGTTTCAAAAAGAAACCTATTAATATTGCATATTTTATCTTGAGCAAGTAGGATGAACCATAGAACTGGAAGATCCAGTGGCTGTATGTTTTCTTCTAAAACGAATTGAATCCAAAAATCCTTCGATTTTTTCGGAGTCGATAAGGTGTTAGACCGAAGATACGGCCACGCGGGTTGTGAGATAGGAGTAAACAGGTTAGGGCTAGGGTTAGGGTAAAAAAAAAGTTCCATGGACAAAAGTCGGTGACCAAAAGCATCGTTGCCTACGTTCGAATAAGGTTACCCGGTGTGGAAGTAAGTGAAGTTGAATTAATATGAACGGAGATGTAAGGATGGTTATAATTACAGATGACCTTTCCCATTTATATTTTTATCCTTCATCCCAGTAAGCAATAACCGACTGTAGCGTCTGTTTAGAGGAAGTGACAAATTCTAAGACGTATTCTAAGAGAGATGGATCTATGGTATATGTAATACTGCCGACACAATAGAAGTAAATGTACATGTGATAAAGAAATGTTTCGAAATGTTTTCTCGGCCAATGCGGTATCGAACACCTGACCTCCAGGCTAGCGAGCCAGGGTCTTACCCACTTAGCCACCGTGGCTCTCCATAGTTGAATAAATATATAATATAAAAGCGAGCAACAGTGTGATAGTTAGGTCCACCATGTCACCCACTGTTCGCAAATAATACATCAAAAGTATTCATCTGAATTCCCTAACCCTATTAAAGAACTTTACTGACAATAAGAGCTGATATTTCATAATGTCATAATGTTTATTATATATTAGGACAGATTTGAACCTAAGCCTTGACACGTTCAAATCCTGAATCGAACCTGCCAGATACTGCGGTAACAAGTCATTAGAATACTATTACGCATATCACTTTCCTTTAGACGACCCCAATCGCATCTATTGTAACTTTCACTATCCCTTAAGAAAATATTTTATATTTGTTTTATCTTAAACTATACAATGATCTAATGATGGCGCCATTTAACCAACAATTCTAGATTCCCAGGAATTATTCTAGTCGACGTATTTAATAATTAAGTAGTCGACAGTTCTCAAGACAGACAACAAAGTAACAAATGTAAGTGTTGTATCAATACGTCTATTGTAGACAATGTTTTCACGGCTGTTACTGAATTCTATGGTTGACTTGCATGAATGTACTACTTTGTACCAAATCAACCTTAAACTTCGATTTCTCATCAAACTAAATGCACACCATTATTAAAATCGATTTCTTTAGAGTACTGACGCACAATACCGTAACAAAAACACCATCATAAAATCTGTAGTAATTGTACTGTTTACAACCAGTTATTAGAGCGACAGTCGCTGTTTTAAACACTGTGTACATTCAAAAGTACTTTGACAATTTGTTATAACTCATAGTAATTGCCCATATTAAAACACGGCGATCACTTGTAGGACGTTAAACCTAATTTCATTTGATATGAAATACTTTTAAGGAGAAGGAAATAATAGGAAAAGGATCGTTTCCGGTATAGATGAAGTCATCGCCAAAAGTAATGGCCCCGTTCTCATCTCCGAAACAAAGACCCTGCTTCGATTCGGATACATTCACGCATTTGCATAACCCTTACTCTTCGAAAAATGTAGGGGATATTCAGAAACAATACAAAACTGCGGAAATGCACTGCTGTTTTTATTAGAGATAACCCGTGTATGTTAATAACAGGCCAATTGCCTACACATGAACATAAACGGTTAGCAAGGGCGGCTTATCTGAAGGCCCCATTTCACTCGCAAAGAGATTACACTGCCAAAAGTGAAAATGGACGTTTTTGAATTGCTCCACCAATCCTCAGACATTCGGCAATTCGTCGTGGCATGCCCCTAATCACACGTCCAATCACGATTTTGGGAAATCTGACCCACTCCTCTTGCAGTGCAACGACCAATTCTTGCAGTGTTATCGGTTGACGTTGACGTCGACGAACACGTCTCCCGATCAAATTAAACGTAACACACTAAAGCAATGATACGCTAAACAGTAAATCTTATGCAAGAACCGATAGGAATGCTAACATGGATAGATAAACCAGCACGCGGCAGTTTTCACCAACCCTTCCTTGAAGTGTCAACATTGACAATGAACCCCACACACGTGCATGGCGCTATTGCGTGTCGCATGTGCAGCTCAGTGGTTCTGTTTGGACGATAAGTTTTTCATCTGTGAACATTTATCATATCACAACCTGCCGCATTTCAATATCCCCTACTTTTTTTAAGAGTATATATATAAGGATATTTATACGATTTTCGATTATCTACGAAACTGCTTTATTGATTTATTCTTTGAATGGCATTTAGTAATTGGAACATAATCAAAAACACACTTTTATGGATAACAATCACTATGGTTTATTTCACTGTGTATATGCTTGATAACGACTTGTGAAACCTTGTTGAAACGTCGCAGTGAAATAAACCATAGTAATTGTTATCCATAAAAGTGTGTTTTTGATGCTTTATTGATTGCTTAATGACAATTAAGTGTGTGTTCAGAATACTTTTGTTTTAGGTAGATATACTAATGTACAAGAAAATCCAAAAACTTAATTTGTGTCCCAAAATTCAAATTAAGATTATTTGGAAAGCGATCTTTCCAGTATAACTCTGCAACATTTTGGAATAAACTACCATCAGAAGTTAAAGATGCGCCAACCTTATTGCAATTCAAGAGTTTATTAAAAACACTCCTGCTTAAAGAATACTATGAGACATAAAACTGTTATAAGCATATACTTAGTGTATGGAGTTTAGCTCGTTAAAAGTGCACTATTATTATTATTATATACATGAGCTTTGCTATATGGTTTTCAAACTACCAAATTATAGGAGCCTATCCACTCGAGACATCCAGTAATGCGCACACGGTGTTACTTAATAGTAATTAAAAGAGAGATTTGTTAATGGTTGTTTATGACTTTTATTGCTCCAGGTCCTACGGTACCGTGTTGGTATGTGGCCTTAAATTATCGGATCATAACTTCCTGAGATTAGCAATTAAAGTAGTCTGTTATTTGGCTATTGCTTGGTAATAAGTTACGCAATGACAATTAAGAATTTGATATGATCTATGATTAACCAGATCTTTGATTTGTGTAGGTTCTACTATTGGTAATACGTTACACTATGATGATTAAGAATGAGGTATGATCTACAATTTTCCAGATCTTTGATTTATGCAGGTTCTAATATTGGTTAGGAACTATCGACCTAAATTACATGTATTTGTTCAACTACTTGAAATGTGTGTATAGGTTGACTACAATACGCCATAATATTGTTAATCAAGAATTCGTTGTTTTAAATAGGCAGTATGGAACTACAGTGTCTCGGTGGGTGAGGTGCTGGCACGTTGACCAGGAGGTTCCGCTTTCTATCCCTTGTTGACCGAAGAAAGTTCTCGAAATTTTCCAGCGTGGTTTTCCTTTTTCAATAGTGCAGGACGGATATCCTGGTTAGGAAGAGGGTTGTAATTAACCAGGTCATGTTTTAAACAGATAATTACGTATCTGATCTGACAGAAATAGTTGAAATTCGAAATAGGCTGTAGCGCCGCTGCCCGGGCTAGATAGTATGTCCAGTCTGTTACTAAATAAAATTGGTCAATTCATCACTGATATACAGAAGTTTTCGCTTTCAATTTCTCATACAGTTCCAAACTAATTATTGGACTAAACCCCGAGGTCCTACCATATACACATTGCCGTGAACGTAAAAGGACCCCTTTCAGTTGGAATTCGAAGAAGAAGGGTTGATAAGACCCCTTTAATGAACTAATAGTATATATTGATACATGGCAGTGTGTGTTGGTATATGTTGTTATACGGACGTATTATTCAACTATAGAGATTAACCGTTATGTACGGTATTTGT